TAATAACACTTGACAGCCATTTGGCAAACACCCGAACAATTCAAATTTGCCGCAAAAGCAGGTGAGTGTGTGCGCGGGTGTGCGAATTCACCATTGCCCTTTAGATACCCAGTGGGAGCACATTGACTTAATCGAAGTCATCGTTGTGGGCGTCCGCTGTGCTCGACTGCCTCAAAATACTCCTCGGTAATTGGGCTGGTAATGCAAAAGGGCCAGCTTTGTATGTAACCAGGTATATCGGCGACCGGACACGCAACCGCTATGCAAAACAATGGCGCAACAAATATTATTAATTTAATCAATTATAATTAATTTAACAACGACTTGCCTTGTCTCGGTCCTTTTTGTCTCCCGGGTAGACTAGCTAAAGGATGCGTTGAAATGTGTGTTAAAGGCAACTAGCTTTTGCAACGAAGTATAATAAACTTTATATCTTAAGGTTGATTAAAAAATATTTATGTTTGAACAACAAAACGGGAATTTCAACAGTTCGAGTTTGAAAAATTGGTTAGACTTGGTTGAACGCATACGCTGAACAGTGCTTTTAACAGCGACATTTTAATGATAAGTCAAGCTACTTTTTTTAACCCTCAGCGATAAAAGTGTATGAGCTTCAAGAGATGCAAGCTACTTAATACCAATACAAATAATAAAAAAATTATAAAATGCAAACTTTTCATAATTTTACCGATGCTCACAAAACAATATCGCATTGAGAAATTCAATAAAAAAAATTTAGCAGCATATCTAATCGTGTCTTTATAACAACTCTTACTTAGTCTTAGTTCAATTCGTCAAGTGTGCCACAGGATGTGTCCATTGATAGAATCAAAAGTGGTTACGGTATTCAAGCAGACATATATTCGCCTAAATTATATACTTCTATCTGCTACGATCGTACGCGAACGATAAGCCAGTAAAATATGAATAGAAAGACACGAACCATCGAGAAGATCAACTCTGATAGCCGAATGGAACTAATATTTCAAATTACTACATGCCGGCATATAAGAAATCTAATCAAAGCGGAGCCTAGCATAAACTTCAAAGCTCACATTAAGAAACATGAAACTTCTATGAAAATGATATAGAAATATAATTAGTGCGTTCTCGACAAAACACCTTTTTCGAAACTAATAATCCAACGTATTTCATCACAAAAATCAGTAGATTGAAAATTTGGCTGTTTCAAAAGGAGATGTGAGGACTGTAACAGAGGCACATTTATACTCGTATATACACAACAGAATACTGCTAAAGAGCTCATTGACATGTACAATCATACAATAACCGTAAAGAGTGCAATAACGACGCATTATTATGACGAAAATTTACACCAAACTATTTGATTGCGCTCCACTAACAAATCGTGCTGAGAATTGTGTTCATTCTTTGCATTTCTGCTTGTGAAAGAAGAGTCTTCCTGAATCACTTCATTTTCACCGTAACGCCAACAAAATAATAATGGGTAATAATACTAATAAAAATATGAAGCCAAGCACACCAATACATACACATAATCGTACATATATTGACATGCCAACATGCATAACACACGCGCGCATACCACGGACGAATGTTGTAATGCAATTTGCGGCCATCAACTGTCATCGCAGAGCCCATAATTACTTAGGCACGGCTTGAGATACATATTTTCATGCTGCGACAATAGCGCGCACAGGTTAAACAGGTCCATGCAGCATGAGAAGAAACGCGGAGCATTGTAAAAAATGCAGCGAAAAATTATAAATACTGCACGGTAAAGAACAACAACAAAAAGTAGAAATAAAATAAACGCAAATTCTGCGCACTTATAAATACTGCAGCGGATGAAGGATGAAGGAGGGAAGGTAGAGTAAATATGATAAAAACGACTTGCAGTTCAGAGCCATAAAGATGCCTAGTGCGCTAAAGCGTTTGCTAGAGCAAAGAAGTTTAAACTCGTTGAGACTGTTTTGTAGTTTTAGCGGTGTCAATTTCACGGCTTGAACAACCACGTCGGTGGAAGAGCAACGCGCTACAAGTGCATCGATTGTCTCGAATTGTGTGGGTGTGCCAGTGCATGTGTGTGTGTTTGTATGTGGCAGAAGTATGCTAAGAAGTTCAAAGCAGGAATGTTAAGCTGGATTTTTATAACCGATCAAGTCATGCGCGCATTCAGTTAAAGTCTAAATGCACTAAAAGGAAAAGAGCAAGTACTATTACAATGACAGCATACTTTATAAAAGAGTTGTTCACCACTTGAAAATTTCGACTTTCATAAATATCTAAGCATATTAAATTTTTTTTGTAGTTTCACAGATTTTTTTGATGACTTACAACTAAACTGGCATTAACCTAACTCTGTTACCACTTTACACTCCAAAATTGTAATGAAAATAGGTAATTTTTGTAGTAAAACTCACATATTTTCAGATTTAGTGGTCTATATTTCCAATTATTTTCATTTCACTTTATACCAATGACTTTTTAATAAGCAATTGGGTCATTCCGTGTTAAATTGACAAATAGTTGCAAGCGTACCCCACACCGTTTCGAATGAATTTTGATAGAAAGTTTTGTCTTATCATAAAACAATGTTGAGCCAAAGAAAGAAATGTTGAAAAATTTTCTCTCAAGAAAACTTGTAATGGAGTTTAATACTAAACTCCGAAATAGAGACTGAACAGAATTCCTGGCCGAGTTTAATTTACGAGCGCTTATCTTTACTCGTACCTTATCCGAACAACGATGATACAACTGATTAATCTAATGCCGAGACTTTTATAAAAAAAAAAGAGATCCATAAAATCTACATAAAACGATTACTTTATATATCGTATTTATCTCGGAGTAATATTATCGGCTAAGGCTTTATAAAAAAGTACCAAAGTTAAAATATGCAAAATTTAGCTTTTAAGTGCAAGCCTAGAATATTGAATTGTTGAACTCTTGATACACTTGTATACTCTTAAACTCTTAAAGTTTAACATAAGACATCAAACCCAGAAACACTTCTGCGAAATATCTAAAGCTCTAGGTATAACAGACTTACAGACAGTACAAAGTAATTAAATTAATGGATTTGTTATATGATTACCTTCCTATAAAATTGCATTATGTAATTTCTGACAAAGAAAATGAATTGCTAATATTAAAATATGTGTACAGTGGTGCGAAAAATGAAGTACAGGTTAATCAGAAATAAGGAGCTGAGTGATGAGCTCTTAACCTTATTATATGATAGATGAGTAAAATTGTAATAGCCGAAATATCTCCAACGATCAACGGCACTCGAATGAGGATTCTTAGTTTCTCAGAACCGCCACTTTGAACTCCCTCAAAGGAAGGTCACACTACTCTATCCGATTTTACAAAACGATCATCATAAAAGTTTCTAAAATACGACAATATACGACTGTACATGTAAAGTTCACTGAACGTGGTGAGGTAGGAACTGGCTTCCAACGAGAAAGAGTCAACAGACTTCGCAACTCTCAATGCGGATAACATTTTGATAGTTCCTTGCATATGCAAAGCAAGTTCTGAGTATCACCTCTGTCATTTATTATTTTGAAAAACATGTATTTAAAACTTTTCGAAAATATGCATTTTCAACCAATGTCATACTTTTCCGCGGCACTGTGTGCATTTCGAGTGAAAGGAACAAAGTGCTTTAAAATGAAGTGAGCTAATTTCAATTGCTGTGGGTGTGGCATGCAAATGTGCAACGGAGATGTCGATCTAATCTATTTTACGCAATTTAGTGGCTCATAAAGCCTCATTAACAAATGGACAATGCAACGCACTCACGCACACAAACAAACACACAAGGCAGCGATTGCGAAAAGCAACAACAACATAGCTACCCCACCCAAACTATCAACCAAACGAGTGAGCATGTAGACAAGACGCTCACTGTTGGGGCGGTCTATGCTTTGTGTTGGCCACTCAGTGGGGCAGGGTCGGCAGCAAACCCCAGCAACATGAGTTTTCATGTTAATATGTGTACAAATTAAGGATAATAATTGCCAGTACAAGCAAGCGCATACAAGCAAAACTGCATGGAGATGAGTTTGTAGTGGTATCAGGCACCCACTACATACATGTACAAATGTGGATAAATCCGTGTGAGAGTACATTCGTTGCATAACTCACACCGGCAGCCTGAGAATGTCTTCTAATACCAAAAGGTCAACATGCATTTCTACACACAAGCATATACCATTACATGTATGTATATGTTTGAAGATATGTACATATATTAAAATGCCTCGGAATACATGGCGTCATTCATGGGCGGCCACCCACTCTCCCAAGCCCGCAACCACCGTCGTCGGTCTTTCGGTCAAGTGCAAAGCCCGCATTAGTAGCCGCAAAATGCTGGACAAAGCAAATCTGCATGCGGTTGCGTAACCATTGCAAAGATAAATGGGCTCCACAAACTCTGACCAACAACACTGTCAGCGCTATTATCATTAAATAGTAGTGTCGGCGCTGTTGGAGTGTGAATTCGAAAAGTCAAGTCAATCAATACTCGACTCGACTCGCCATCAGTCAATGCGATATGATTTCGGTGGTGTGACCACTGCATGCTGGAAAGATGGAAAGATAAGCAAATTACATAATAATAATTTAACAGCAATTCCGTTACACCTGCCAAAGCTTTGTAGAGTGCACAGAATTAAAGTTGACTTACACCTTCTATTCTATTGTGCTGCAAGTAGGGTGGACAAAGTATATTAAATTCATATTTTTATTCGATGATTTATTTTCAAAAACGATCCTCCATGGATGGATAGGCCATTAACCGAAGAATTAAAAAATTAAAAGAGCACAGCCTTACTGAAAACAAGTGGCGAACACTACCATTAAAAAACTAAAGGTCAATAAATCATAAATATTCAGCCCAAAAAATGATGGTCTCTCTTCGTAAAACCTGAAAACGAGCAAAACTTTTGTATTTCGAGTTTGAGGGTGGCAACCATACGTAAAAGTCATTTCTTCTAAACCCCACTTAATTTAATGCTTATATTTTTATAATTCGTTTATATTATCAAGTTTTTTAAGTTAAAATTTTAAAAAGGTGGCAATCCATCAATTTTCAACTGTAAAATTTCTAAAAACATATCTCTTTGCTACCTATTATTTATAGTGTGCCTTTATATCGAATTATATATATATAATTAAAAAGTATTCCTTTTAAATGATATCTCCATAAAACCAATTTTTATTTGAATAAATTTAATAAATTTAAATTTTACACAAATAGTTCTCTTTGGTTTCCGCAATTGCTTTTTTATTTCTTCCTATCTCTTGGAATGCTGTCCGCGTAGTTGTCTGCCAGAGTGGTCTGCACCCAATCGATCAGCTCTGAGACGCGTGTGTAAACACCGGGCTTATTAGGACGCGCACAGCCAACACCCCACGACACGATGCCCACAAGTTTCTCGTCCACCACCAGCGGACCACCCGAGTCCATTTGACAGGCATCAATTCCACCTTTATCATAGCCAGCGCAGATCATGCGATCAGTTATGGATCCTTCCATCTGCTCATTGCACACAGTCTGATTAACAATCGGAACACGAGCGTACCGCAAAACGTAAGAACCTGGCCCATAAGCGGACTTGTAACCCCAACCGGCCACCAAAGCGATATCCTCATCCAACACTAACTCGCCAGCAGCGGGCAAAGCGATTGGCTGTATGCGTACACTGAAAATGAGCGGATTAGCTAGACGAACCAAACCGATATCGTAGTCCATAGTCTCCATACTGAAGCGCCGATCATAATGTATCGCAACAACGTTAATCAACATGCCCTCGTGTGAGGAACGGGTCTTTGCGCCGGCATGAATTTGTAAGTCGCTAGCTTCGCTGGCCACCAGGCAATGCGCTGCGGTGACTACGGTGTATCCATTAATTATCGAACCGCCACAAATGTGGAAGCTGAACGACCTCAGTGAGACGATGTACGGTATGTTAATATCAACTGCCGACGAACCACCCACAATGCGACTGAACGAAGCGCCCGAAAATATGCTGGCCGCTTGGGTCCATGACAGCGCGCTGAAAGCAATCGCCGCGAGCAGTTGCAAGCGTAGGTTCAACATTGCAAAGTTTTAAGGATTTTCTAAAAGATTTTATAGAGCTGCACCTGCGTCAAAATTCACCGCGAGTTCTAAAACGTTACTTTTGAGCTGACTCGCGGAAATCGTGGGAACTTGTGTCTGTGTCGGAAGTTATCTTGCTCCATTTGTACGAACTTGACACTGGGTGCAGCGAGACATTGGTTTCAGAGTTGTCTGATAAGCGACCGTTAACACAATTGATGAGCGCGAACATCAATTTGTAATTAGGCAAATTCACCTTATCAGAGTTCTTGGCGATAGCACTTTTTGTTTTTAAACAGTGAAGTCTAAATTTTAATTACCTGAACTGGTGTGAAAATTCTATTAGTCGTAAACAATGTTGGTTATGCTGAAATTCGATTATGAGTTATAGAGCGCCAGAGCTCAAAAAGTCCTCAATAACAATTAACGCTAGTCCCTTGATTATTATATAAATGCGGTTTATATAAAAACCAGAAGGTACGAAGAAAAGAAAGCAATATATTTATAATAACATTCCGAGAAGAGCACATTAGGATATTATTCAAAGTCAGTTAACCGAAGAGGAATTTAATAGCATATTTTTAATAGTTTGTTTTAGCCTTATATTTCTTTAACATTTGATCAAGCCTACCAATAATTGTCAATACTACTGTAGAAGTGGAAAGCATACGCAGCAAAGCTACATAGAGGAACGGTTGTTAAAAGTATAAAACAAAATACAATAGATAACTATTCAGAGAGATAAATAGATAATAGGAGTTACTGAAACTAACAGAAATGTTAAAAAAATAAAATATATTTTCTGCAACCACTTCAGGCAAGAAAGCAAGCTATTCCACATTTTCAAAAAAGATCTAGATACAACTCTCAGGTTCACTGCCTACATTTTTATGGACTTTTTGGATGGATCTTAAAATAAAATTATTAAAAATTTTCGAGTGCAACATTGTGGTACTTAAGGGCAATTTCACGAAAAGAAGTTGTTCCATTAAGGAACTACAGATTTAAAGAGTACTTAAAGTCAAAGAAATTCCGAAAAAAGGAATGTATTGTATGATCATAGCTCGATTGAACAGATCGTAAGAAATTTCCTCGGTGCATTTTCTGAACACGTTCTAAGGTTTGTACAAATTATAGTCATTTCATCATGAGTAGCGGGATTTTTAAGTAGTTAGTCTGTAGTCTATAGTAAATATATAGATTTCTGAACATTTCTTCGATGCTGGCAACGCTAGCTTTCTTCTAAAGAAAGAATGTAAACGGACTGCTGAAGTACTAAATAAGTTCACACCTCTGAAGGTCAAGAATTGTGAGTCACACGTTAGTATTTTAACCATTAAAGGGAATTTTATCAGTGTTTACTCAAAGAAATTCCAATAATATATTATTATCTTATATTTACGCATAAACACTACCCAGAAATAAGAAACCGTTGCAATTTTTACCAAGAGTCGAAGTAATTTGTTAAATTACTTATGTCCAAATCGGCTGGGACCGTTATCGCGGGCGGTTCGCTTGTACACTCGTAGGTAAATTACTTGTAATATTTGTAACATATATTTTGAAACAAAGAAATAAAAAAAAATTAAATAAATATAAAAACAAATTTTAAAAATATGTAAATATCAGCCATTTTCGCCAATTCATAAATATGCGTGCATTTAAATCGTAAATACGACATTTAATAAATAGAGAAAACATGTGTAATATTAATTTTCATTAAACAAAAAGCGCAATTTTTTCCTCATTTCATTAATGAGCAAAACAATTATTTGGAGCGAATATTAAACGCATGCTGGCACAAAAAAAAATCGAAAAACTTAAATAGCGACAAAAGATTATTTACATTTTATTGCAATAATAAGGAGGAAACCGCTGCACAAACACACACGCACCCACTTCGATATTAACCACAAAATAAAGCCACAAAAAGTTTCGCGCTCACAAAAAAAAGAGACTCGAGGTCGAATAATGATGGCGGAAAAAGTGCAATCGAAAATGCTTGAACCGTAAATTGCGAAATACTGATATTCATAAAATATTAATTGACCCAGTGCTGCCACTTAACAAATTCACACCCACACACACACACAAATCCATAAATGCATGTAAGTATAAGTGTGTACGTGTATGCAAATTAGTAATCAATGCTCGCGCATATTTGCTGCATAATTGCCCACATTCACTGCATTACCGCCAAACACACACACGCACATCTGCGCATAGCGAACTTGTGTAGTTATGCTATGTCTTTTGGCGCAGTCGCATGCATGACAGCGCTGGGACCCGGATTAATGCTGATTAAAATGTGCAGCGCATGGACGGACAAAACAATTGGCGCACCAGCGCGAGTTGATTAGGCAAGTAATTGCCAATGTACAAACCAATATACATATGTATGTGTGCGTGTGTGATGGTAAAGGCTTTAAGTGTATGCAGAAATGACAATCGTTATGCCAACGATGATTTGGAATGCTCGTATAATTATCGCTATTGCAAGTGTTGAGTTGCATGCGAACGTTATATATATATATATATATATACAATTATAATTAAATATATTTATATGTATGCAATTTCTAATGGATATACGCTAATTAACGCCAGCTTCAAAAATATCAATCAATTGCGAACTTTTACTATGTCTAAACCTCAAGCGCAATCAGCGTCAGTTATCTCGAGAGTCTCCAATATATATTTAGTTATGTATGTACAGATATTTCTAAAAAGCTTACTATAAAATTATTTTATAACTGAGCATTACATTTTGTTTTAAACTTACTTGGGTTGCTTGAATGAGGCTATCAAACTCTCCAGGGTCCAAAATTATATAAAAGGACCCAAAAATCTTATTAAGAATTTAATAAAAAATGCAGGTGGGTGGCAACCCCTTAACAAATAAATATTGTAAAACTCATAAGGCTGATGCTCATATAGTAATAAATCGCTTGTGCTATCAATGCTATTGTAACAGGTGGCAACTATTCCAAAAACTTGTCTCAACTAAAGGATTTCTCGAACCTTTTAGACAATTTTGAACATCTGCTAATTATTAACATAAATCTTTGCTAAATCTACTTACAAAGTGTTGATTATTTCTACAATTCGTGGCAGGCAATACAGTTATATCCGTATCGTGCTATAGGTTAAATCTATCTAGACTGGTCCAATTGAAAAAAAAAACTCTCCAATAATCTTTTGAGAATTAGAGGTTAACGCACTATGAAAAGTCACGTACTCGTATCGGTTATTTACGTTAATGGCGCTTGAAGGTAACGTAGGTTTCGGAACTATTTCCAAATAGGTAATTATTTTCATTTCAGCATTTGTAAATACTTTATTTTCTACTCATTACTTTATAATGTAAATCTACAATTTTCTTCAAAACTATTAAACACTAAAATTTTGAAATTATTAAACACAAAATTTCTTAATTGTTGACATGTCCAGAAAAATTAAGTTCAGCACACGAAATTCCTTACTTGTTCGGGTTGTAAGTTATAAATTAAATAACTCAGGAGTACATAAATTTAGATTTCTCCTAATAATTTCCTCGTGTTGCACACAAACATTTTTTAACAAGTATCTACTACCATGAATACTAGGATGAGCCATAAACTAAACTTTCGAATTTATGAGTTAAAATTAACTAAATAAGAATAAACGTTAAGTTCGGTGTAACCCCCGAATACCCTTCACAAATGCAAAAAATTCTTTAGAAGAACTTGCTTCCGATTGATCAGTTTGTATAGCAGCAGTTATCTGATCTGAACAATTTCTTCAGAGATTGTATAATATTATCGCAATAACCCTTGTCAAATTTCGTGAATATATCTCCTCAAATGAAAGAGTTTTCCATGCTGCACTTGATTCCGATCCTTCAGTTTGTGTGGCAGCTGTAGTATTTTGGGGAGAAGGACTAGTTCGCGTATATACAGACAGACAGACGGACATGGCGAAATCGACTCAGCTCGTCTCGCTGACCATTTAGATATATATATATAATATTATATGGTTTCTTCGATGTTTCCTTCTGGGTGTTACAAACATCGTGGCTAACTTAATATAGCCTGTTCAGGGTATAAATATCCTTCGTGGGCATAATTTTTAGCTAAAGTTTAAAAGTAAACTCGTCCCATATAAATAACACATAAAACATAATTTTTCAATAAAAATTCCATAACTTTGAACAGTTTAGAAAACATTTTCTTAAATTCTTGTAGACCATAAAATTTTCTAAAAACTCTACCTCAGTTGTCAATTCGAATGTTCGTATATTTAGAAGTTTGAAATTTGAAAAGAAATATTAACTATATAAAAAAAGACAAGACGAAATTGATGAAAACAAAATTATATTATGGAAAAGAACACTTGACGCGACAATGACTTGTTCAAAAGATATCAGTGACTCTGTTACAAAAACCGTAAGAATTTTTCCAGCTACTGGATTTACCGGGCTTCTTTAATATTGAACCGGAACATTAGACAGAAAATTAATAATGGAAATATAAGAACTTGTTTTGACAAATGTTATGTTGTATATGTATATGTTATATGCGATATTTTTTAGCTTTTTTATATTATTTGAAGCTGAGGTTTTTTGTTACATAAGCACACTTTTAATCAAACACAGCTGAAACTAGCTTTTCAAAGCTTTCTATATGGTACACATTTTTCAATTAAAAAAACCATACTAGGAAATTTTATGCGCTACAAGAATCAGCGATGTACAAAAATGGTTCAAAAGTTACGGTATTTTGAATGAAATCTTTAAAATTAAACTAAAGATACTGACTTGCAGGGATATTCCTTTCTCAGCATATAGTTTAATTTTAACTCGGTACTCGGTAGTTAGTTAGTTGGCTCACCCTAATGATTACCTTTGATGAACATTTCCTCCAGCTGAACTGCCTAATATATATTTATTTATATATGTCACATATACATATGTATGTATGTGTACTTTTACTAGACCTAATATATGAGTTTGATAAGCCTGCATAGTTGCGAAGAAGGTTAAAATGGTCTCTTTAGTTATGCAAATATTGATTGCATGCTTTCGCACAAGTCTACAAGCAAACATAAGTAGCATGCATACCGTTATGGTATATGTATATGTATACATATATAAGTGCGTATGTATATTTCTATGCCTAACATACGCCAGTGTTGTGCTAGCCTGCCTGTGCATTGGTTGTGTGCCCTATTTAAATATTGATAAAACATTCAATTCCCATTTCGATTTTCAATTGACTTACAACAACAAAATAGTACAACAATAAAATTTGCACATCAAAAACTAAATAACATTGCATAGAAGAGCCGAGTATGATGGATGTGTTTAATAGTCTGTATATGTACAAGTATGTATGTATGTGCAAGGTGTGCCAGAATTTACTCTCGCTATTTAGTTTAGTAATTGTTGTAAAAACAAAAATGCATTTAGTATAATTTCCCTGTAAATGCACACAATTCAGTGCATTATTAGCCCACATAAAAAGCAACAACTACAGTGCAACTGATAAGCACACACACTCACGTACATGCGCTTACTTAATCGCCTTGTACCATAAGCATCTGATTACCCCACTATCCCCCGTGGCTTAGTTTACTAAAGCGTTCGGGTCGACAGTGAAAAATACACCCATTTATGGCATTTATTTATGGAAATGTAAATATTATTTTGTGGCAGCACATCAAAGGCAACCCTGGTCGTGGGGGTTTAACGTAAATGATATGGATAACTTAAAAATATAGTATGCATGTGCCGTTGTATGCAAATAATGCCCCTGAGTAGCACAATTCCAGCTAAGGCCCACCCACCAACACAGCGGCGCGCGCTTAAAGGCGTAGAGAGTGTGAGTAAGTGATTGGCAAAGCGCGCGCTCCCGAACTCGGGCGTTCGGAGTGCTGCCGGATGGCTTGGTCGATGGGTAATAGTTTATTAAGTCAACAAGGTTGTGCACAATTTAGTTGTATTGATAGTTTGTTTGATTTGTATCTGTGTGTCGTATTTATTTATGTATCAACTGTGTATTTATTTTCTAGCACACATATGCAACAACTGCACTCACACATGGACACTGTGAGCCTTTGAGCTTTGTTTGCATGGATATGTGTATGCATATTTCCACTGGATTTCCGCTGCTCAAATGTTATTGATGTGGGTGACGGGTGGCAAAGTGGTAGAGGTATATGCTGTGTGGGTGGTTCATGTACAACTACAAAGTGATTTATTTATTTAAGGCTAAAGTGATTGAAAATTGATCCGCCGAGGGACATTCAACATAAACATACTCCAGCTCCCATGTGTCGCCAAACCGTGTTGCATGTGCAACACCCATAATGCATGGTACTTGTATGGCTATATGTAAACATGCTACAGAGCTACATATATATTCTAAAGCTAATATAATAAGCATTAGGTTTGGTTATGAAGGAGATGAGCACTCTTAATGGGATTAGAAACAGCTTACCTATTTCTAACTCTTTTAGCTCTTCTATTCAATAAAGAGTATTTTTAATTCACATAAAATGGAGTTTAAGTAATAACTGCTCTTTTATAAAACGTCACTTTCGCGCCTGTTGTAAGCGGTAAATGTCTACATAAACAAAAGTAATAAAAGTGTTTTGGGTAAGAATCGGGTAAAGACAAAAGTAATAAAATGGGCTAAGATTACGGTAAATTTACAAATATATAGCATTAAATAAATGTGTACAGACACAAAAAAATAAATTCATCACTCCATAATTTTGTTCATCCAAACTCATCTTACCTAAACTCACCATATTTACCTCACCATTTCAAAAATCAGGCTGCACTTGAAATACCCTTGTCTAAATTCACCATATTTAATTTACCACAGATGAGTTCACCATTCACCAAGTTATACCGGTCTCTTGGAAGCTGCTAGTCCGGCCAAATTGCTTCTGTGTACAATTATTATGAAAATTGTTTCTTTTAATACAGACATTTAAGTATTAAGCGAAGTAAGACGTGACTTTATTTGATTCATGTCCCGTCCAAGGTATATTAAAGCTGTTTGATACATTATCTCTTAAAAAGAATTCTTACTATAACTACTTTAAAAATCAGGCCTTCATATGATGATACTCTTTAGCCAATCATCTATTGTACAATCGAATATCAAGTACTAATTCGACAAGTTCTAGATATTTGAGCAAGAAATAATATTGCTTGTTTTGAGGATGGTATAACGATATGGACCCGGTTTCTACTCCGCTCAGGGCCCAATGCTATTTTTAACAAATATTGAAGTTATTCCTTACATCAGTATTTTACAGTTAAATATCTTATATTTTAGAGAAAGCTCTCAATGCCAAAATACCAAGGTACTCAAGCTTTTTACCGAGGAAAACAATTATGAAGGATGAAGACCATTTGTAAGTAATTCAAATATGAACACCTTCAACTTTTGTAAATCCAATTATATTATTGCCAAGAATTAAAAATGTAGGGCAGTAATACAGAAATGGATAATGAGTTTCACTCTTTTGCATTTAATTCACTTTTCAAGCGGACGTAATAACCCGCAAGAGCGGTAAGGTATATTTACATCGAAGGCTGGAGCATCAGGAATTGGCACCCTGCCAGCCTTCACAGAAGAGCAAACCGCTATTTTTAATCAAATGTACTTTGTATATACATATATATATATATATATAGGAGAGTGTAGCGAAAAGCTTAGCGGAGGAAGTAGCCAGCTGTATAACTCGAGGAAAGGCGCTTATAAGCAAGAAATGGAAAAAATGCAATATGAGCCAAATGAGCCGATCGATAAGGGCTAAAGGTAGACAACAATGCTCATCAATACATACATAGAAACACAGTAATCAGAGCATTAAATAAATATATACACACAGATATATAGTGCAATCTGGAAAACAAGATACCAATACTCAGCAAATGCGCTAACATTTAAAGAGGCTCTTCTAACCGTATGCGCCGCGAAGGGTGTGGGAAGCGAAATGCAGAAAGAAGTAAAGAGATAAAATCATGCTTAGCGCAAAACTGGGACAATACTGTGGCAGCGATAAACACGTGAAAGACCATCAACTATTTACCGATATATATGTATGTATATACTACAGTTGAATGTACTGCATTAGGAGCACTCGTAATGGCGGTGTTACTTAACAATAGCGTCGAGAATTCCATCAGTAGCGGCAACAGCAGCTGCCGCGGTGCTATTGCAATGAAACTATTCGAGTTTTCAATTTCAATTTCAATTTCGCTTTCCGAACACCTCCACCAGCGCACCACCGACGCACACCCTCACTGCTGCCTTCCTAAGCGCGCTGTTATCTGATTGTAGTTTAGTGCGGCAGCAGCAGCTTTGAACTACTTTTACGTGTGTTTTGCTGTCGTACTTGATTTCACAACATCCTTGCAACACACTTATAGCCATAAGGTTCGAATCGTCCTTCAGCACCCGTCCATATGTTCACTACTTGTGCATATGTGATGGTTTGGGCGAGCATTTACTTATATAATACAAGTATAAGTAATTTAAGCATGTATTTGTAAGAATCTTCCTAGAAACACTGGCACATGAACACTGCGCCGCAATTCAATCTCATAATGAGCAGCACAATTAGCAGAGTATTAAGGAGGAAAATCCTTTGCTTAGTGAAATTGACTTTGCTTGTTATCCCTTTTTCTTTGTGGAAAGAAAATTATTTTTTCTAGCATATCTTGCTATTAAGTTCGATTTGTGTGCCAAAAACAAGAACAAGTAGACAGAGCAATAAGAACTGCGTCAGTTGGTACTCGTAGAGAGCTTAGCAGGACCAAAAGCAAAAAACTGATACAAAAAATATTGTAGATGTGTAAATATGCCATAGATATCGTATACTTGCTCAATATATAACTATCTTTGGAATTTATGTATATAGACCCATACAAACATGGGTATACATATACTGATATTTGTGAATGTATTAGCATAAACTCTGACGATTTGCACAATAAAGAAAATTGGTGAAGTAAATTGAATATCGATTTCTGATTATTTTTACCAGCTCTTTAATTATTGACGTAGAAAAACTGCTGTTGAGATATTCTATATTACAATAAAGAGAACTTTTGTCACAAAGTCAAAAAAATTAGTGAGCATGTGGCATTTGAAATTGATTGAACTGAGTCTATGGGGTCAGTTACCATCAACGGCGAGCCGAATATTTACAAATAAAGGTATATATACATATGTACAGTATATACAGTTTTATTATATGTGTACATGGATTATTAGGCATACATGCCATACATTTACAATATAATGAAGCAAAAGGTATATGCTAAATGAAAATATTCTGAGTTACTTCTCTCTTTTTCCTTGTTCTCAAATAAATAGAGGCTTCCATATACAACTTTTAATCCGCCTTACAGACTGGATTTAACAAGCAACCTTTTATTTTATGTAATTAACCTTACCCTTTAGCATTCAACCCATCCGAAAAAAAATGTATTTAATGTGTGATATTTTTTCAGCTTTAGTTTCAAACACGGAGTTTTCGGTAATGATCGCGCACTCAATACCTGACCTATCACAGCTGTAGAGGCCATTCTAATGTAGAATTTCAAAAAAATCAATTTTTTTTATATATTCAAATTTTAACTATTTACGAATATGTCTACGAGCGGATTTTTGAAAACCAAACTGGTTCGGCTGGGTCTAATCGAACAAAAGACTTTACGCGAAACTTTAAATGCGTTTTTCTCAGACCAGACTTTTTCAATACCGTAGGTATCGATTTTTCGAGTTCTACTGTTTTTTCATTTCAGATGACTAGGAGGGTATCATGGTATGCTCATGTGCCAATTTTTTAAGACCCCCCACTTTATAAGCTGGCAGTTTTTTAAATTTTTACCTTTTTTTAATTTTTTTTGTATTCTTGTAACCTTAATAAATAACTGATCAAAAAATCAATGGTAAAAATATTGATTGTCTTTTTTTACGACACTTTAAAAATTACCTAAAATTCATGTCTCTAGACTAGAATACCCCCTTGAAGTATCGCTGCAACCTCGTCGCCCTTCGGCTTAGCGGGTATATAACAATCTTATGCATATTTGTCATGAACCGAAACTTCCAAATCGATGTAAAAGCCGTGAACCGTTAAATTCCTGGTTTCGAAGACATTGAATATAAAAGAACATATAACGTTTTTGATGTTTTTTGTTCTGAATTATATTTAAATGCAAACGAAAGCAGTAAAAAGAGGGTGTGCAAACGTTTAAATACTTTACCGACAAATACTTAAAGAAGCTTACAAAAGAATACATCATCAACTACTTTATAAATGTTTGTAAAAACTAAAATTATCGCTACGCACTTTCAGCAGCAGCCGCTAGAAGAGCGCGTTATTTTGTTTTGCGTAGGATTATGAAATTTTCGTCCCTCTTCGTGGGATGAACTACAATATTTCATACGGATTATGTGCTTTAAGAAATACATGCAGAATTCGTAGCACTAACTCCAAATTGGGAGCGCTAAGACCATAATACAACGCAACTCTAATTATTCATAATCATGAATAATTAAAGCGATAATCATGTGGAACTTTAGCATAGTATGTAAAATTTATTTTCAATTTGCGCCAGCGCTTACACTGCGTTGGAGCGTAAATGACATCGAGACACAAGAAGAAACTTATTCATGGATTTCTAAAATTTTAAAAGCTAACCTCGTATGCAAATTTTGCAGCGAATTTTCAATTGTTCCATTCTTCGGTAATTAAAAATAGAAGCAATAAGTAAAGTAAATATGAAACGTGCTTCCGGCACGTCGCGCACTCCTCCCCAAAACGGATGTACAAGCCATGCGTTGCGTTCAAACAAACGACTGACGTTTCCGGCAAAGCCTGACACACCACCAACAACAGCGCCAACGTGCCAAGTTTACGGCAATGTCAGCGCCAACAACAATTGCAAACTAATTCCCAGCGAAAAGCGCCAAAATTACCAGTGCTAGAGTGTAATTATAGATTAACCCCTGATGGCTGGACGGCGTGCTTAGCTGTAGCGCCGGGTAAGCGCTGATCTTCTTCAGCTAATGTCCACACAGCACCAGCTGCACAAAGTTGAGTGTCCGGTGGCCAGCGTCCGGCGTCCGTGTACTTCCGCTCCCCGTACACCTGCAGCAACAATGCCCACCTACTAAAAACAGTAATCAAGCTTGGGAATGCTTCAAATTTGCGCCCCAAAGCGCCTATTGCCACACACACTCTTACTTGTCTGTGACCCGCTCCCGTCCAGTTCTCCGCCAAGCGCGAGTAATAAAAACAAAATCATGGAAGCACGCGTGCGTTTATGAAACGTGAGCTGAAAGACTAAGCACACGTGCGAGCGATTTGCTACATCCGAATGGCGCTCCGCACACCCAGCCGCCGCTCCACAGACCACGCACACACGAACGCTGTGGGTCTTTAATTGCGCGGGTGTTGTTCCTAAAGTTATGCTGTTAATTGTCACGAAAAAAGCACAAATGAGCAAGATGAAGTCGGGCAAAGGCGTAGACGGAAGCTTCGTCAAACAATTTCTAGCTGCCGATAATGGTCGGTTTGTCATAAAACTTTCCATGGCGCTTGATTAGTGCTGGAAATTCGATGATTTTAATTTTATTAAATAAATTATGCACACCGACCATCGTGGAGCGGCCGCCAATGGTCGCGTTAGTGGT